GGCTCATCCTGCGGGAGGCCTACTCACGCTACGTCTTCCAGTTTGAGATTAAGTAAGCATTAAGTACATATTTTAAGTACCTTGTAGTTTAGTCACGAACTCATCTCGTGATGCACATAAATTCATTCAATCTATCGCTAAGATGGCGTACGATAGTATGTAGTGGGCGTACATGTTCAACACGGGCTATTTGAAATAATTGGCAAATACCCAGTTGTATTTTCGTTGCAATCTCCCGAGGAAGTAACGCTTTGCTATTTACAATGCACTGAGATAATTATAATCGATACTAGTGACACCTCCAGATTTAGCAAATAACTAGGTATAACTATATTGATAACAAAGTATTAGTCTGGTCAACAGATACTAAAAAAACTATAAAGAAAATTATTTCACAAATAAAATAGAAAAAGAGTTTCATTTTTAATTCGATTAAATAAATAAAAATTACTGGTCGTTGCTATTCATCAAACAGCAACAAATAAAAAAAACCGTTGAAAAATAGGAAAAAATAGTCTTCATTCAATAGTCTTTGCCCTTATAGAGATAGATTAAGCTTTAAATGCTATTTTCACAAAATAAATTTTGACTATGTCTCCGCATTGAACACCCTTAAAGTCCAATATCCTTCTGTGTTAGGAATGCTGAAAAAACTTAAAAGACATTAGCGAGTAATCCCAGACCCCGAATGTGAAGTATTTTTTACAAAGGTACTGATTTCCGAAAATCGAATCCGGACGTAGGTGCAAGTCACGACTAACGATTCAACCTAATTGGTTTTTTTTAGAGCCCGGAGATTGGCCGTTTATTCATTTAAGTTTTTTTTTTATTGCCCTTGTAGGTAGACGAGCATACGGCCCACCTGATGGTGAGTGGTTACCGTCGCTCACGGGCTTCAGCAATGCCAAGGGCAAGGCCAAGCCGCTGCCTACCGCTTAATACTCTCCACAAGCCTCTTTTAAAGAAGGACATGTCATAGCGCTCGGGAAACACCGTGGTGGGGAAGCTCATTCCATAGCCGGATGGTACGTGGCAAAAAAGCCCTCTGGAAACGCACTGTCGATGAACGCAGCGGTTCCAGATGATATGGATGAACTCTGCTCCGATGGCGGGAGGTGCGATGAAAAAAAGGAGATGAGGGGATCATCTCAAACAATTCCTCAGAGCAACATAATTAGTATCAGTTAACATTCGTTTGTTGAATACTCGCATTGCACTTTTTTTTCAGCCTACGGACGTTCATTGCTAGTGATAGACGTTTTTTGGGCTTACCACATCTTAATGGTACTATGACAAAAACCGCCTTCAGCACAAGGCTTGCGGTAGTAGCGGCCTTGCTATGTCCCTGGCCATAGACTACCATGTACCCACAATTATAAATTGCATTGCATAATACACAAGCATTCGTATTTTAGACATAGCTGAGGAGAAGGATTTTAGCTGTCTTAACTTAAAAGTTGAGACAGCTAAAATTTCAACTGTTGAAATACCCAGGTTGGTGGTACCTACCGGTAAAAGCTCACGACACGCCTTAATACCTACCTAGAAGATTGCGTGTTGAATTCATATAATGAAATTAATTAGATAACAGTAGATCTAATTCGCGCTGATAACGGGTATCGTAAAACGGCAAGGAAGTGACATCAAAACTACACTGACCCGCACTAATTCGCACATCCCTATCACGCGCGATTATATCGCCTAATGACATTTATCACGCGCTGCGAGACCAACACGGTTTAACGTATTATTTGCTTCATTAGTCGTAAGAAATGCAATTCGTCAATCATTTCATAATGAAATTTGATTTATACACAACAGTGTTGATTAAGTTTTATGGTAATTTAATAAATGTTAGCGTATATCGTTAGTATAGAAGGGTTGAATCGTGATGGTCTAATTAAGTCTAATAAAAAAAAAAAGTTGACGGTCTGGCCGATGAAAATTGACTTTTAGAATTTTCTAAAAGTCAATCCTTGGAAAAAAATTCTACTCTTCAAATCGGAACTCATGAATAGCTTAGTTTGTCATCTGTATGAACTTATCTGTGTTATTAAGCTTCTAAGAATAAAAATATCAGTTATTATGTGATTTATACTCGAGAAAAGTGATGATATAACTATCCTTAGCAGAAAGCTTCATAATGTAAGAGAATTATTTTCCATTCCACTAATTTAATATAGTGAGAATAAATTATAGGTTTTCTGGTGCTGGTCAGATGAGATCATATAAATCACTTTCATTTATTCTTGAAATTGCGCCACTTTCAACACTTTGAAATAATTTGGATTAACGAATACGAAATTTCTGGTATTTCTAGACTATTTTACTTATATTAAAAAGCAGTGGGTTTTTTAAATATTTTGCTTCAAAAGTAGGTCGTGCTACTAAATGAAACTTGTTACATTCCATAAGCAGTTCATCGGTATCCGGTTTTGTTCAAATTGTTTCACCGCAAAGTTTGGTTCGGTAAAATATCCTCTTAGGCGAAATAAGATGCCTTTTGTACAACAGTGCGTATTTTCAAACATTGAATAACAGGAATAATTTGCGTACAATCGGTGCGTACAAAAGGGTTGCTAATTTTAAGGAAAACGATATCCGGGTACAGAGCAATAAAATTAATAGGGATTAAGATGACGATGAAGATATGATAAAAGGTCCTGGAGAATGTTTGAGGAGGGAAACTGAAATCACATAAAGCTAGTTTAGCTTTATGACTGGAAGAGTTCCTACAGATATTGTACTCAATATGCGACTGACGGAAAAATACCATCTTACCCGTAAAAAAATGGACATAGTTTTTATGGACTCAGTGAAAACATACGATACAATACCGAGATAAGTTTTTAGGGGGCTTTGAAAAATAAATATGTATTTGCCTACGAAGCAAGTAAAGCTGATTCAAGTAATGTAGAAGAAGCTGACCACAAAAGTAATACCAACAACAATAAAACAAAAGTAAAAATTTGAGTCAGCTTGGAGCCATATAGATTGAGGGACCCTAGTGTGTGCTCATTGTCCACTCATTGTATTGGTTAAAGAATACTGTGTAAACACTGCAGATTCGGCTAACCAACTTGCCGCATGCTCTAGAGACTGTTGTCCCAAAAATAAATTAAACTAAAACAGATTACCTGTTTTACGACTTTAGCTGTGTCTGAAGTGCAAAAGCAATATCTATAGGCAAAAGTGCGATACCACTATGGTCTAATTTGAAGTATCGCAACTCGATGTGACGTGACCGAGGTGTGCAATGACATATTAATGCAGGATTGCAAACATGGTGGCAGTTTACTAGTACAACATGTGTCTCAAAAATGCCGTTAAAACTGAGGCGAAAGAATATTTATAAATCGTTCGTAAGACCACTGAGACCCGAATGTTAACTCTTTGACTGCTATTTCTTCTCTTCGATCTTCTTACTAAGGTGTTCGAATATCTATTAGCCTCTAAGAAAGACGAATCCCAAGATACTGAGAATGAAACTATTTCTAAAAGAACTAAAAGACTACACACAGTAACAACAAAGAAGGTAAAGTTAGGCAATTTAGGCGCTTAGTACCTCACAGAAATCAACGTAAATATGTACTTCGGTGCGCCATGTAGGGCACTGGTGACCTACATGATTGTCAAAAGGTTAAAAAGGTCCCTTACAAAAAACGTATCCACTTTGCTGATACTAATGTTAAGATGGATGTGTGGAGTTAGGCGAATCGATAAGAAACTGAACAGAACTGTGTGTGCTATTGATAACCATATGAAAATTTAGTAAACTAATTTCTTGCACAGTAAAGTAATTATTTATATAGGGATAATCAATGTTCCGTTTTCTGAAAAATAATAGAAAGTAGGTAAGTATTTCTGCATATTAAATGCTTACTGAAATAATTTTTATATCTGTTATGAACAATAAAAGGGTTCGCTAAGTACGAAGTTCACAACGTATAGAGCAAAATGAAAAGCCTTTTGTGTAAGTTTGGTACGGTCACGGGCGGAGGGAAAGGATAATGATAACGATTGTATGTATAATAATTTCTAAACGAATTTCAAAGTTTAAATTTAGAAAGATATTCGGTATAATAGCAGAAAATTTAGCAATTTAAACATTTCAAACAATTTTATCACGATTTTTATTGCTATTGAAATCTTGAAAAGTATTATAGATTGAAAACTTAGGTAATATAAATTATTAAATTAAAAATAGATTAAAAATATGTATATTTATATTGATAATTCACTAAAAGTCAAAGTCAACATTGATTGTCAATGCAAAGCCATTCATTAGATTGATTTTAATTCTTAGTGAATATCTGTGACCTTGCTCGTTCACGAAGCCCGCTATAGAAAGCAGAGTATTAAATACACTTGACATTGGCGAAATCTAAAAGGAAACGCCATAAACCTAAGAGATAAATAGATAGATAGATAGATAGATTGATTTTATTTATGTTTACAACTTCGAAAAAAAAACAATGTTTTTTAACGAAAATGTATTTCTTCCGAATCGAAAAACAGGGAAAGTTCAGCAGTTACGTGCTTGCTAAATTAGGTTCGGAACGAGAGTTTATTTTCGTGAAAGCCCACAATCTGATAATATCCGACTTTATATTTGTTTGAAAAATCCATGTCACTTATTTCATATCCTTGAACTAGTACTAGTAACAAATACAGGGTGTATTTGAATATTTTCCGACGTTGACACCGGATTGGCGATTAGCATGACGGCACTAAAAAGGAAACGCCATAAATCTAAGGAGATAGATAGATAAATATACTTTTGATTTAATTTTATTTACTTATGATCTTGAATAAAAGTCATGTACCAAAATATTAAGTAAATTGATGCGCTGCCTCTAGACTCAAAGGAGAGTTTAAAGAAAACGAGAAGTACACAGTTTCGTAACTGTCATTTCATACACTTTATGTTAGTATTTTATTTTTATTTCAGCTTCGGGAGTAATTTTAAATATGTGTAAAAATTTTGAGAGAATACTCACTGACAATGTGGATCATGAATGAGGCGAAGACGACCATCCATCCCCATCCCCCGTCTGGTGGTGGCGCGGGACTTTCAGAGCCTTCTCTCGAATCTTCTATCTCAGTGTTTTCATTCTTAGAATTCTTTGAAGCGCTCAGAGACATTTTGGCACACTCCGAAGGCAGTTGTAATGATTTTTAATTAAATATAGCCTATTTTCTAAATGCGTAATTATTTTTGTTATTTTATTTTCTTCGAATTATATTGTCTGGAGATATGTTTCTCTGTTAATGTACAAAATGTATTTTATTTAGAATGTATGGAGGCACTAATACGTGATAAAGCTTTATATATCACATAGAAAATTGGAAGAGTAAAAAGAAAAAAGTAAATTAAAAGTCTGCTATCTTTGGTCACAGACCATTGTGACTAAAGCTAGCTCCGGTTTATCATTTCTTTGTCGGATAACGATAGCTTCCAGTAAACCGTGCACATTTCCCTTTCTTGCTGATATCTGAAACAAAAAGTTAAAATTGTTACAAAAGTTGCTAATGGCCAAAAAACGCTGATTTCTTAATATTATTTTCGCGTTAAATCAAATTTAATTTTTTTAAGAGTGGTTTGAACTAAATAAATGCTTTTTTGTTTCATTTCGTAAAATAGTTTATTTTGTAATGTTAAAATTTGTTTATTTTGTAATGTTAAAATTTGAAGTCGTTTTAGGTAAACAAATTGTTTCCAAATATCCGAATGTCCCCTTTGATTTACGATTCTTCCAAATTCTTAACTGAATAAGCAGTGACTTACGATATAATAAGGCTGACAATAGCTTAACTGAATTGGGGTCATATTTAGCGTCAATTTTTCTAAATTATTTAGACACTAGTCAATCAGTAGGTATATGTATAAGTGTACCTAACTAATACTGTGATTAGAGAAATATTAAGTATCAACTATGATATTTAAGCATTTTATCGCAAATATTTGTAATCTACTGTAATTAGAATATCTAATAAAATATCTAAATACTGTCTGGTATTTCAATTTTTTCTTTGGATAAATATTTTTGTTTAGTATAATGATATAAATCTAATCGTTATATCAATGGAATGATTTTCAGATTTGGCATATTTTGTTGTAAATGAAGGAAATCAAATCGATCCTATTATCAAGACTTCGCCGATAAATCGATTCGTAATGGGTAGCAGAATTTTTTCAGAATTCATCTAAATTCACAACGACTACAACATGACCCTTTATAAATTTCTAAAGAAACATAAAAAGGGTTATTCCTAATTTCAAATCGTAATAGCTTCGCGGAAGTAGCCAAACCTTTTATTTATTGGATCTATATCAAGATAGCATGAAGCTATCTCCTTAACATAAAGGTCTTAAGGTCTTTCGTAATTAAAGTTAGTACCTGCTCCCCGTTTAGTGCAAAGACACAGTCGTATGATTCGATAGTGATAGTAGGTATCTTTAATCCCTTTTAAGTGCCACACGCTACAAATATATATTTTTTTAAATTTCATTTAGGATAGAACATTTTGTGTTAGTATGGTTTCAAATTATTTTAGTATTCTACAAGTAAAAGAAAACAATGCTGCATCAGAAGAGAAATAAAAAAAAAATGACAATAGGATGCGGTTTAATATGGGACTTGTAAATAATGTCAGAAGCTATCAAGAAAAGTATGAACCATGATCGATCGATCGGTATCGCCTGCCTCGCTGATAATAACCTTTCGTAGATGGAATGGGTGATTTCACGATAACACGCTATGATTTTTGGGTTATCGAAACCTTATCTCGGAGGTTGGTTAACTAGCTGTTGTTGCTAGCTAGTTTTCTGTTCGGTAGTATTACTGAAAAGGTTTGGATTTTTCTATTCATTAGTGATTTTGCGATACCTAAAACCTCTAAACGCGTAATGTAAATTACCTTAGCGGTTCTACTTTGTATAGATGGGTCGCTTCGGTAGCGATCCGTGCGATGGTAAAAAGAAGAAGAAGAAGGGAACATGTCGTACAGTTTCTCAAAGCACGTCGCGTCCCATGTGTTCTAAACTATGGAACTGTTATAAATTTTAAGTATTGCAGTGTGTATTTTTAGTATTTATACACAAACAAAAGATCAGTCCAATATCAAAACTTTATTAGTTATGAACTTCAGGAGAATTTTTTGTATACATAAATAATAAATAAATAAATAAATATTTACTAACAATCACGCCACGTTAACTGGTCCCGTGATAAGTTCGTAAAGAACTTGTGTTACAGGTACCAGATAACGGATATAAATGTAAGATTTTCATTATACACATACATATATTTAATATACATCCATAACCCTGGAAAAGACATTTTTATATTTTATCATACAAACATCTTCCCTTGACGGGATTCGAACCCGCGACCCCCTTGTGTAGTGACCATGTCACTTACCACTACACCAGACGGCCGACATATGTAAATGATCTAACGAAATATTTCGCATCCTGAAAAATACTGACTCTACTTTATAAAATGCATTTTATAACCATCACTTTACGGTTGTGCGTTAAATATTTCATTAAGAACGCATACAGTACGTTTTTGAAAGTTGAACGTGCATCGTGAAGTACCCATGGCCCAGTAGCTAGGACACCTTGTGAACTCGTCACGGGATTATGGCGTTGTTCAGTTATTGAGGCAATTTTTCTAAGTAAATTTGTACTTATAAAATCCGCGTTGAAGGAATAGTATAAGAAATACGCATTATTGTCGGTTATGATGAGTGATAGGCAGTGTTAGACACCGACTTCTCTTTTATGTCAGCCGTTGTGCGTATTACCTATTGCCACAGGAGGATCTTCCGTTCAGTCTCTGCTCGCTAAGTCGACGGTCAGAATATTGTTTTATTTGAATTCGTTATTTAAATTAAATGCAGTTAAGTTTCTTTCATTTATTTGTGATGGAAACTGGATTGTAACAAATATTGATATGAGTGAGTAAAAACCGGTTAGCACATACCGTACGATTCCAACGTAATACTTTGTTAATACTTTAATACTTAATAATCTAATTAATAATAACGTTAATACTTTGTATGCAGAGTACGATAAAGATAATAAAAGTACTTTAATAATCATAGTTTGTGGGAAGAAAAGCTGCCTAACATTAATATAAATCAAAAGAGGCTTGTGGAGAGTATTCAGCGGTAGGCAGCGGCTTGGCTCTGCCTCTGGCATCGCTGAAGTCCATGGGCGACGGTAACCACTCACCATCAGGTGGGCCATATGCTCGTCTGCCTACAAGGGCAATAAAAAAAAAATTCCGTCATCAAGAAATGAATTGGCTAAGTTTGGAATATTACTGAAAAAATTCACGCACACAACACTGCTCTCTAACTACCTTAAGACACGAGAGGTCGAAGTCTTAATGGAATTCGTCTTTCGAATTGGAACGCATGGTTGCTTTGCGATAGAAATAAGCTGGGTGGTGTAGAAAATTATAAAATACTCTTGTACCAGTAAGTAATTATGCAAATGATATCTTTTTGCAGTTTTATTACAGGATATTTCTTACCTGAACCCGCGTTAAGTACGTAGCTTATAAGAAAAAGATATCTGCCTGCGGAATTTGAAGCCGTCATTTTCACATTGCTAGATGCAAGTACACCGGACGTCTTATCTTTTAGGCCGAGAAGTACTGATTATGATGAAGTTATAAAAGTTGCCGCAGAGGGTCGGGATGATGTAATGGTCAGCCAGAGTTCTACCATGTAAGAATCTTTTATTTACTTTTTCTTTTTATCATGACATCATCATTTCTGATTAAATTTGATTTGATGAATTTTTTCGTGTTCTTGTGCTTGCTTAAAAAATTGTTTGCTTTAATTTTCGAAGCTTTAACAGTGGCGTAAAATAAATTTATTAGAGCTTCTTGTCCGATACGAGTAACCTAGTCTAGTAATAATAATTAGGAACACTGATTATGTTTATTTCATTTGAAACTAGTTTATTACGCTCGGTCTGATTACAGATTTTAGGCTTCATAATCTCCCCTCTTAAACCAATCATGCTTTTTACAGCAACTTAAATCAAATCCAACCATACATCAGCTTCGGAGGGTGTGGTCTGGCCGTATCAAATAGGTATTCTGTGATAACACGGGGGTCAAACTTATTTAAGTAGACTATGGTTAAGAAAAAAAACCGCACCTCAAGGTTATCAAATTTGTGACACCGATGTAGGCTCCGAAACTACTGGACCGATTTGAAAAATTATTTTTCCATTAGAAGCCGACATTGTCCCTGATGAACATAGGCTACATTTTAAAAAAAAAAAAATATTTAATTTTTTTGGTTTCGTGTGTGTTTTAATGTTTCCGAAGCGAAGCGAGGGCGGGTCGCTAGTAGCAAAATATTTTGGTGATTCTTTTGAAGATTTCATTCAGTACTAGCTGAGCCGGCAGACTTCGTAGTGCCTCAATAGATAAATAAAAGACCTAAACTTTTGTATATAATAAACTTAAAACAAACAAAAGGAATCCGTCCGACGGGGGACACATCAAAGGAAAAACAAAATAGTTATTTTTATTTAATTCCGAGCATTTTAATATTAATCTACCTTTTAAACCTTCTCTGGACTTCCACAAATAATTAAAGACCAAAATTAGCCAAATCGGTCTAGCCGTTCTCGAGTTTTAGCGAGACTAACGAACAGCAATCATTTTTGTTTAGATAGAAGATTATTTTAAGTTATTTACTCCTTCAAAGCAACCGCCCCGTATTTAATGATATATTTTGAGTATTTACGGTATGAGTATATGAGAATATATTTGTAACGTATTATGTTTGTCTCAGGCAAGCGGTACGCGGTTAGATCAATAAGCAAGCATATTATTTTCATACATATTTTCTAGCTATTATTTGTTGAAAACTGAGTCATCTTCTTACGGTATTTGCCTGAACTTATATTATTTTCATGTTTGTTTTATCAACGGTTTAAACCTGTACATTAACTGTAGATTTAAAATTCAGCTAGAGTTTTTGGCAAATGATTGCCTTATATACAAGTTTCGGTGAATTTATTGTAAATTGATTATGTTTCCTATACATTACCAATTTAGAGATTAAAAACGATTATTTTAAAAAAACTTTTAAGATAAAGACAATGAGAAATAAGAAATTAAATTATTGTAGATGAAAGGTCAAGGCAGCCAGTTTTGCGAATGTTTTTACAAAAGACAGATAACTTTATATTAAATAGAAACCTTAGTATGCAAATAAATTATAATTAGATAGAAAAAATATTTTTATTCTATAAGTATTAGGTATGTACCCACGATATTTTTTCATTTAAAATATCTTTAGTGGTTACCCAAGGCTACCATTACAATGCCACAATGGGGTGCATGGTATCAGAAGTTATAAATATTTTATAAGCAGATATGAGTAGAAGGGTTATTTTGATAATATCTTGAAAAGTATCCCACGCTTTTTTACAATAAAATCATTTTTTCTTACACTATTT